ACTCCTGGTCAGATGTTAAAGAAAATCTTCCTGATGCAGCTGTGGAGATGTTCTGAGTGATGATAGCACCGCTATCAGACGTTCTTTATCAATGAGCCCTTTTCTTTATGGAGATATCATTTGTTGAAAATTCTAGATTACAGGCGGTCGAATAAGTTTTATCGCAAATGACATCGAGCAAAGAGGATCCTTCATTGAATCACAAACCTTGCTGTTTAGCGGTCGTAATTTAATTGTAAGAAATGAACAAAGTTCTAACCTGCTTATTACCCTAATGGGTCCCTATCGCTGCTTTTGCCACTCACTTTTGTCACCCTGCTCTACCATCTCGTCTTATCGAATGAAACATACTGAACGGTCAAAGCTATATCGTAGATAGCGAAGATGTTAGGATTTCGATTGGTAGATGGCACTTTTATGTCCTTTATCATCTCTTATCAGTTATCTCAGTTCCTGTCACCGACTCCCTACGATCCCGTTATATCCTGCATCATCTATTAGTATGCTGAGGTTCCACTGGTAATACGAAAAGTGTGATTCTACCAAATTTGAACGCTCTACGTCCACGTAAACAGGAGTTATAAATTTGCGGCCCAAAACTACTATCGCGCAAGCCCCGCTCCCTGTGCTTGGAGTAAGGGCCTTACCCACCATGAGTGTTCCCATGCCGCCCCTTGTACTCCTACCAATTTTGAACGCTTCGAGTCCTTTGGAGCAGGAGTTACGAATTTGCGACCTAAAAGTTTTATCGCGCATGACCTGCCCCCGGCGGGCGAAGTCCGGTCCTGCCACCTACCATATGTGTTCCCATGCTGCCCCCTGTACTCCTGTCAAATTTGAACGCTCTAGGTCAACGGGGACAGGAGTTATGAATTTCCGGTCAGACACACACACCGACACACCAACAGACACACTTAGCGAATTATATAAAGTAGGATTGTATAATACCAGTCCAGGCCAACTCCAGGTTTGCCTCCTTCCTACGATACCGTCTTAAGAATCGGCTAACTACATAGCCCACTCCTTCATGAAAGGTGGTACTACTTCGAACGCGAAATTAGACAGAGCACTCTGATGGCATGCTAATGCTATTCAAAATGGGCCGATGCTTATATGCCTATCATCATAACACTCGACCTGTTGTTGTTTATCTTAAAAATAGAGACCCTTGAATGTTCAAGTGGTAGACAACCAAAGCCTTGAATGGAACTTACAAATGTTGTCGAGTGATAATAGCGCCATTATCGAATGCCTTTATCAATGAAGCTTCCATTTCCTACGGATATATTATTAGATAGGAATCCAAGATTATCAGCTGTCGGATAAGTATTGCCAAGAATGATATCGAAGCAAAGAGGAACCGTGATCTCTCATCGAGTGGAAAAACTTCGCTGGGTCGTAACCTAGTAGCAAAAAGTGTACCAATTTTCATCTGCCCATAATTTAGTACCCTCAATCGACCCCTATCATTGCACTTACCCGTCCTGTCGAATGAAACATGTCAAGGAATCGAATTTTTTCTGGTAGGTGGTTCTTGCTCTCTGAGGCCTCTTCTATAATCATATCCTGCTTCTTCTACTCCTACAAATTTTGAGCTTTGAAGTCCAGGGGAAGAGGAGATATAAATTATCGCTCAAACATTCATTTCGCGCAGAACCCGCCCCTTCTGAGCGGAGTTCGGTCCCTCCACCTACCATAAGTGTTTCGATCCTGCCGCCTGTACTGCTACCAAATTTAAACGCCCTAGGCCAAAATCGCCAATTTCGTGCAAACCCCGCCGTCTGTGGGTGGAGGCCGATCCTTCCACCTACCATAAGTATTTCGATCCTGCCGCCTGTACTGCTGTCAAATTTGCTAGGGCTCTAGGGCCAAAATGACAATTTCGCGCAAACCCGCCCCTGTGAGTCTATGACGGTACTGTGTAAGCGTAAACGTCCGGAGCGTAACTGTACTTTATGCTTGAAATCTATAGAAAGATTCTCCCCTTCCATTGACTTTTCCACACTCTACCTGCCTCTAAAAAACTACAGCTTTATTCGCTCAATGAGAAATAACAAAGATGAAATTATTTACACTGTCAACAAATGCAGTCTTTGATAGTTTATTGAACGACATATGTATCAACAGTAATGAGCTTTTCCCAGCGAGATTTCGATCAACGAAGCACACGCTGGAGCAAACTGTGGCCGGACCCAGAAGCTGCAATAAAACGTAACGTTTAAGGAGCCACTAACAAAACACAAATCTCGCGAATGTTATGAGGATCCTTTGTTCTTTGATACTAGACAAAGAGTTTCGTTAATGACCATAGAATGAGAGTTGATTGAAAAGTATGTTTTTAAGTTGCTTTAAAATTAGAAAACGAACTAATGTGTTCGACTGAGTGTCCAAACCTTTTTTTCTTCTGACTGGCGTAGGAGTTTGAGCGCCGAACTCACCACCTGGACCACCGAACTGAGCGCCTGGACCACCGAACCTGCCGCCTTCGCCACCGAACCCGCCTGGACCCATGCCCTGTTGACCACCAAAACCTGTGAAAACACTGGGTCAGCAAAGGAGACAAACTAAGCCAGCGTAAGGTTAACAACCAGTTACTAACATAGGATTATAATTTAGAATGAAAAGACGAACCTTGGTTGCCACCCATGCCGAATGGTTGACCGCCCATTTCACCTGGACGATTAAAACCGCCCTGATCACCTCCTATATTCAGGAAACCACTGGGGCGTGGTCCTTCTAATGTAGCCGGACCTAAAAATCATCAATACCTAGCAAACAGTGCCCCAATACGAAAAAAACTTTCTGATCTATTTCAGTGACAAACTTTGTAAATATACGACAGAATTGAAAACGTCGCCGAACCAGAACTAGGAGGAGCACCGTTTTGGCCCCCAAAACCTCCTTCAGGTCTTCCGAATTCTGGACCGCCGAAATTGCTTTGAGGGCCGCCGAAATTGCTTTGCGGGCCGCCGAAGCCGCCCTGCCCGCCACCGAATCCTTCCCCTGAAAGTAGCATCATGAAATCCCACTTCCACACGTTTTCGGATTAACCCATTGGCGACCGCGCCTTTTACATTGTCCTTACATGACCTTTTAATTTCTCTTATATCTGTAGTTGGAAGCGAATGATTTCTGGACCACGATGCCTCAAGATTCTCCAGAAGGCTGTGAGCTCAGCTGATACTTGAAAACACAAAAAAATATAAAAACACTTGATAAATAATATAAATACTACAGGAGCACGATATGGTGTGGCCCGCCGGCGAGCCACGCGGTCGTCAATGGGTTAAATAATTCATTGCTCAAATGCCAGGAGTTCATCTTGCTTTCCTAGTTCAACGAATTAGAAAAAATAATGTTAATAATGAAATAATGATGTTTTGCAATAATAGCAATGATAAAGCATGTTCCCTATAATGCAACTAACTTACTGTAATATTGTAAAAATATTGTGTAAAACTCTTCCACATAGTAAAAAAAAAATTTAGTTGCCGCTATTCAGCAATACCTTGACCTGATTCAAAAAAATCGTTTCGAAGAAAGTTGTCAACATAGATGGCATGTAGGAGAATTATGGGAAGGAGTAGTTGTAGTTTCAAGTAATACTGCTCGCAAAACTCTTCTCCCACTATCAAAGCCAAATTAGAGTCTAATTTCTTCGCGACTGTGATTTGATGGGGAATGAGGGACAGAGACCACATCTGTCCATCGTCATCGCATGCCGAGCCCGCTACAGATAATTTCGAAGCCATGCAAGTCCAGCAAATTCTTTGTCAGTGTGCAACCAAACACTTTCAACAAGGGGAGACTCTAAGCCGACTAAAATATTTCGCTAGAGAGGGTGGCACCCTCCCATATAGGGTGGCATTTCTGTGTATGCCGAGTTTAACCGAGTGGTTCTTCCGATGAAGAGGCTGAGACTTGACATTGACCACATGAACACCGGAGCTCCCTCCTCCGCAGCTCCCTGTTGATTTCAAGGCAGTCAGCTATCAATAACTGTGAACCAAAACAGCGTGAAAATAATCGAGTGTTCCCCGAAACCACACGTTTGCTGGAATAAAATCGTTGTCCCGTTTGTTGTCTGCGGAAAACGATCAAACTTGACTATAATTAGCTATGCTTGGTAAAATTCGACACTCTCATATGGCTGCTGGAGTATGTACACTGCGTGCCCCTATTTCGCAAGTGTCTAGCTATTTGATTCGCGTTCTCTATGCAGTAATTTAGGGTAAAGTGCTCAGGATTTTTGAGGTTGTCTGTTCATGCATACAATTTGCTAACAGGACCAGACCTGCATGTCCGAAGAAAATTTTGGAATCCATTCAAAGATTAAGCATTTGGTGCTGTACTGGTGTTTTAAATACTCTTTCAATTGAAAAACTATGGATAATTAAATACAGACAATCATGAAACCAGAACCCGCATAAGCTAGATTTTCTTTCGTTCGTTAATTTCTACTTCGCAAGGGCAACTGTCATACGATGCATTTACATTGCAATGTCCAGTGTGACCACAATTTGCAATGCCCACAGTTTGAATAGCTAGCTAGTCTTCTGCTACAACCATATGTAATTTTTCCTTCGATTTCCATGTCACTCGCAGATGCTCGTATTGTACTGCCCTGCTTGAGAATTTCCATGGGTAAGAGGTAGTTGAACAGACAGCTTTCGATTTTTCGAGAACAGGTTTCTACCCAATGCCGCTAGAGAGAAATAGGGATTACAGTTATAGTTCCAAAGAGTCTTCTTGTGAAACCCTTTTCGGCCCTTCATTTGAAACCGAACTCGACCTGATATCCAAGCAATTTTTCACATAGTCCCAAAAAAGCTACCAATTAAGATAATAATATGATAACCATTTTCAACCAAATAGCTCATGTTAGAAACTTTGTAGAAAAATGCGATTATTTACATTCCGGAAGATTTCTCACCTGGACCTCCACCCCATTGACTCGAAGCTATACAAATTAAAGCAGCAGAAATAACGAATAGTGATCTGTTCATGATGGAAGTGTTGATAATGACAACGTCAAGATGCTAATATGCGGCTCGATCCACTTAAACTGGTTTTGCTCCGCCCACTTTTGCTCTTTTCCCATCATTCTTTAGAGAAAAGACTTTTTTCAGCAGTGCAGTGTTCATAGAGAACGGCGTTGTTCTTTCGCAAATTCGTCGAATTCGTAATGATTGATTTCCATTCCATCTATTGCAGTAAGGCTGTTTTGCGGAAAAACTCTCTGGTTGAGACCGTCCATCGACGCTCTTAAAAAATGATTTATAACAGCCGTGCTTACAAGCGACGCATACATATGAGTGTCAATGACTTCCAAAACGTAGCAGTCTACTTGTTCAAACTTTACATGATGTTGATCCAATAAATTTCACCAGTTGTGTTTCGTACACTGATGCGTGCACCACCAGAAAGGAAGCTCTGAAGAGTGTTTTGAAATCTGATCCCGAGTAACGCCTTACGAAAGTTGGCTTATAGGCCCTGATGAAATACAGTTATGAAATTCATGTATGAAGTTTGCGCGTGGTTCAGTGGTGTGTGTTTTAAATTTATATGTATAGTACAACAAAGAAATTGATGGCACAAGTTAAATCGTAATAAATATAAATGTAAGAAGGTTCATACAGGAAGAATAAATGATTAAGGTTCAAACCAACGTCTTGTCCTTGAAGTCGCTTGTGGTAGACTGGGGACCACGCTTTTTTGTGGCCCCTCCCGCTTGACCCCCTTTTAATGGTTGGCGTCCCATCGCCGCCTCAGACAGAGGCGGCGAGGGACTGGCATCGTCGATTCAGACGACGATATGAAGTGTTGCCCACAGTGGAGACACTCACCGTGAGAGGGATTTTTTATTTCAATTGTTGCCATATGATCAGATTTTTTCCACAGATTACCTTTTGAACAAGAGCAGAGCTAGCGAATCGTCAAAATAAATCTCCTCCGAATCCTTTGGGTCTGAAATACTGCGACATTATAAGACACAGGCCAACTTTCCAGTCAAAGACAGAGGCTAAATAATAAGGAAAAGTATGCTTATGTCATATCTATTCAGCACTACTCCAAAGGTGCACATTCATAGTCTCTTTTGTGTTATACATAGTTCTCTATTGCATATAATGTGCAACAAATAGGACTGAGGATCTGAATCTGCCTAAATCAGAAACCATGACCACTTATGAGACGAGAAACCAAACATTTAAACCAATTTATGGGTTGAGGTTCGCTACCCTTAAATCTAGTCTGGGTAAGGAGGAACAGCCGTTCCGCGTTTCCGTCGAAACTAGGTCACCCTCCTCCCCCTTGCGTGATGTATGCTTGTAGGGACTATTATTTGCATTTAGAGACGCTATACATACTCAGTTTCCCCACTATTGTGAAATTTACAAAAAAATTTCAGCTTGGGTGTTTGGTGTTCTGCTAAATCGACTGTGTTTGAGCTTGAAGATCGGCGAAGGAGGGTCCCATTATCAATTATCAGGCAAGAAAATGGGAAAGAGGCTGATTCTCTCTCAAAATAACGACCTACACCTCTTGGCGGCACCGCAGCGTGATTTTTTCGAGCATGTCCCGAAGTTCAATCTTTCAAAATTTAGAGATGAAATAAAAAGCCACTCGTTCTCAGTGTGACGGTAGCGAGCATGTGGTTGTATTTCAGAGAGTAACAACTTGAAATGTTCAAGTCGTCCAATCTTGAATTGGCTACACTTTCAAAATCACACAAGTGGCAATAAAAACTGAAACGGATGAGAACCCGCACGCGAGAAGAAATCGGCGAGCAATAATGACACTAAGTAAAGGTGAAATATATCTTTCGTTCTCTCTCTAAAATTTGGTATGGTATGTACCCAATTCCTTCGAATGTTCCCTTGGCTCTTACGGAGCTCGAGGGAAGAAACTGTCGCCGGACTCTCAATGAGCAAACGGAAATCCTCTAAACTTTGTTAGTCATCTACAATCCAGGCTTTCCTCATGAACATTAACAAATCAGCATTAATCGATACAAAAGTTAATGTTTAGACGAAAAGTGAACTTACAGCTTGGTCGAGTGATGCTAGATGAATGCCACAAACGTTACCTTGAAACTTATATTTTTGATAGAGCCCTATAAATGAAGTGACATAATCAGAAAAACATTTCTAGAAGCAAAGATATCTACAGGAAAATTGTAGTTGAGTGTGTATTCAACTCCCCTTAATTTTATTGGTCAAAAAAGTATGGGCCAATGACATATTCGGGATATTCGGTTCAAGGAATTTCGGTAATAAAATGATAAGAGCATCCTGAAGAGTGCATGTCTTCCACATAACCCGAGAAGTTCAAGTTGGACTGGTCCCCACAACGTTTCTTCGCGCACGTCACACGCGATGCACTGCGCGGCTGATGCGCCGCAATTTCGATGGGATCGCTACTGTACCCTAGACCATGGCTTTACCATAGACTAGTGCGAATCTCTTTACCAGAGATATAGGGAAACTTCGAAATCAAGGACCAACTCCATAGACTAGAAATTCACTTGTCAATCGTCTTAAAAGGTTAATGTCTATTTCTGCAAGTTTCCATAGTTGCTCCTTTTTCACTGGCCTTGCATACGTTTCTAACTTCATATTATGATTGTAGACATGATTTTATAGCACGTCTTGTTCACGCATCGCGCCGCCGTAGGCCCCGCCATTCACGCGAGGCGACCTTATTATCTTCGCGCGTAAATTGCAACACACCCCTATTACATCTCAAAAGGATCATCATTTCTGCGAGCTCAGGGACAATGATCAAAATAATAGAATACGTACTGCCTATGATCCCTTGACCACAAATGAAATGCAATTTTGACATAAAAAATCGAATTGTGGGCAGAACGAGAAGTTTTCAATCTAAGATAATGCGCAGTTCGACGGTGCGTGCACATAGGACTGCGCCCCCTATCATTAGTGCGCCACTTGCTTGCACCCACTGGTGGCTGCCCCAGAAAAGGAGTTTCAATGGCTTACTAAACTCAGCCATATCTCCCATATAGTAGGCGTACCAAGATCTCACTTTATCCATCATATATAAGGGAATTGAAGTTTAGAAAGAAAGCAAAGTAAGATAGAAGCTCAGAAATATTGTACGCAGTAGGGATCCTTGTGAGACGAGCTCTTGAGGAGTGGGAATCCGATAAAGCAATTTAAAGACTTCTATTGTCTGCATCGCTCTCAGGACGTGCACAAATCTTGAGGGAGCACCAGATGTTTTTGTTTTAAAAAAGCCCATTGACTACATATGCTTGTGATAACTGAGCTTTTACTACGTACATACCGGTATATGAAATGTTGAATATAAACACTATTAAGTTGGTTCATGAAAATGAAAATATTGAAGAATTTTGGACGTGGAAAGAAACAACAGTGGCACCCAACACTAGATGCCATTTTCCCATGCGCTTATCATAGTTGCATCCACAGGTGAGTGCCATTGCCGTCAAAAGCTCACTCACGTCAACGTCTGTCACATTATTTATAGGATGACCCAAAATTCCATTAAGAGTAATTTCTCTCACTGAGGATTTCCTTCGTAAATAAGCTAGTCTCATGCAGGGTATGTCCCATAAACAATGTGTTACATGGAGAAAAAAAATTTCTCATTTTGCCAATAGAATTTGTCTATACATGAGCCTCGAGCAATGTAATAGAAGCCAAACCACAATAATTGAGGAAATTATCTGCATCAGAACGTACGTATAAACGGATAGCGATAACATTAAAGTCGTAGAAAAGGCGCTCGCAATCGTACTATATATAGTGCCGTTAGAATCGGAAAATATCAAAACGTCTTGAGAGGGAAACGTTTGTAATGATAAGGAGTCAGCACAGTGAATTGAGAGGTAGTTCTGAAAAAGATTATGAGCAAGTTTGAAAGGCAGGGGCCATAGAACATTCGATACTCTTGTGAGAAAATCTCGAGCACGTTGTATCGAATGTATTATATATAATATATTAGGTGTGTGCATTAATTTCCGCCGCCGCA